AAGTTCTAAGACTGACCTTTGGAGGCGAGTCTCCTGAAAAGAATGGAAGCTGTTGGATTTAGTTGTCTGTTAAATGTGTTTTCTGCTTTTTTCCTGAGGCTGAAAATGAATAGCTTGTACTTACTGGCAGTTTTGAGTGGAAATGAAATAAATCTGTCTGTGACTTTAACACAGTACTGTAGTGTATTACAGTGTAGTGTGTGGTCAGTTGTTTCAGTGATTCAGAGCTACAGCACACAGGCTGTGCAGAAATGTGTGTGGGCATGTGTGTGTGACACAGACAGTGTGAGTGTGAGTGTGTGTGTGTGTGTGTTTATGTGAACTGGCCTCTGGATGTGTGTGTGTTAGAAAAAGGAGAAGTCAGTAAAATTCTGTTTAATCTGGCTCATCAGTCTGTTACTCTGACATTTTATCCTCATGTCAATATTTATTGGAACGCTGGACACGGAGTGAAGCTTTATTCACTTTACTGAGTTATGTGCTGACCCGGGGTCAGCGTCTGCTCAGGAAACGTCCAGAGAAAGCACTGAACTAAAGGGTATGAAGTGTTTCAGAGCGGTGGGAGGATAAACTGAGGGGTACAGTCACTTAAATTCTTTCTGTACTTACTACTTTACTGCAATTTAACAGTTTCACTAGTTCAACTAGGCATCCTGACACACAACATAATAATAAAAATGATAATAAGAACAGTAAAAACCACTAAACAAACACAAATATCTATGGAGTAAAGGTGAACTTACTTTCTGTTTCTGTAAATTAACAACAGCAGTGATAAAATACATTATATGTACGGTTTATTTATATGTGTTTAACCTTATTTTGCAAAAAAATGTACTGATCATTTTTCAGTGCTTTAACAGTGAAAATACAGTATACCACTGTTTGATCAAACTCCCCTGAACATCGCTGACTATTAGTTGGCTTCTGTCACTGTAGCCTGTTATTATTATTATTGGATTATATTAGATTGGGTTAAATTAAATTGCCTTTTTTGCTTTATCAGGTTTGTTGTGAGCACAGTACTGTGCACAATTTTATTTCATTTGAATTCCAGTCAATTAGTAATTGTGTACAAGGAATTCCTTTTTTCAGGGAAAAAGAAACATATTCAAGAGAAAACAACACAGAACAGCTAACTCTACTCTCAGCTGTGAGTCAGTGAGTCACTCTTTCCCTTTATTCCAGCTTCTTTCAGGAGACTCACTTTCAGTTCCTCAGAGAATCTGCAGACACAGCTCCACAGTTCAGTCTTAGAAGCTGGTTGATGATTTTCTGAAGTAATCAAACACATTCAGTGGTGTTGAGGTCTGGACTCTGGGGTGGTCAGTCCATCGTTCAGCTTCTTTGTTTGATGTGTCCGTCTCCTTTTCTCAGTGAGGTTCTTCTTGATCAGCTACACATCCTTTCAGACCCACAGCGCTGAGTCGTCTTCTCACAGTGGAAGGATGGACAGAAACACCTGTGGATGTTTTCAGATCTGATCAGCTTGATTTTCTCCTCTCTCTCAGAGATGAAAGCTTTAAGTGCTGCTTATCTGATGGGGGCAGTTTTGGGGTCGACCAGCTCTTCCAGGTGGTTGTTAGGAGACGTATTCTCTGAGACATAGATTCTCTGGTTTTAATCAGATTTGGAAACTCCTGTGCTTTTATTTCTTTGCCTTTCTTCTTCCTTATGTGAGTGGATTATCTTCCATCCTCACAAACACCTCCTGAAAACTCAGTAACTTGTACTATATGCTTGTTTTTGACTGGAAATTAAGTAAACGAATGGTGGCCTCTGACTCCTGTTCATTACAGTGCAGTGTCAGTCAACGCCCATGTTTGCTTTGTGAGGACGATGTTCAGTGAGTGGTGGAAGGCTGCAGATTGTTTAACAAGCATGACCAAAGTAAAGAACAAAGGCTTGGCTGGTGCTGCTATAGAACGGTCTAAAGCCGGGCAGCACATTCGGGCTGATGCAGGACACGGACTGCAGACTGAAAGAAAGCTTTATGCTTCTTTAATCTGTGACCAGACAATTAAATCATTCAACATCAGAGTTATTTGAAATCATGACTCAGTTCAGGCTGAGCTATGAGTTCAGTGTGTAACTGTACAGTGTTTATTGTGGAGGCTTCACTGTGCTGAGCTTCACCTGCTCTTAATCCACTGGATCACACTGCTGTATTATTATCTGTTATAAATCATATCAGATTATCTTTATAGTGTCATCTGTCTGTCTGGTCCTCACCCTGTTCTCCCCAATCTGAGAGTGTAGTAAAAGAAGAGTGTGTGTGTGTGTGTGTGTGTGTGTGTGTGTGTGTGAGTGTGTGTGTGTAGTGGGTGGTGGAATGTTAGCAGAGTGTGTGCTGTACGCAGGGTGTGTGGGCAGGTTGTTCTGATTGGCTGAGATGGTGAGTGGGCGGAGAATGGAATGAATGGGTTGCAGTGTTGGCCAATCACAGTGGTGGCCTTTAGAACGTGTGTGTGTGTGTTGGTGATGTTCTCGCAGGAACGTGCACCCCGTGGCTCCCTGGAGACGCATCTCAGCACGTACTCCGTCACTGAGGGGGGACTCCTAATAACCATACAGACAGGGGTTGCTGCAGGGACTTGGGTATGTGTTACCATGGAGACCTGTGACTGTTACCACTGAGACACATGATTTTGAGTTTCCATGGAAACATACTGCTGCATGTTGTCATGAAGACCTTCCACGGAGATACGTGACCGACTGTCGCCACGGAGAACTGTGACTGTTGTCACTGAGACTTGAGACTGACTGTCTGTTGCCACAGGGATGCACGATTGGGTTGCCATTGGAGACAAATGATTGTAAGTTGCTAAGGAAACACATCGCGTAGATGCATAATTATGTCTCACAGCAGAGATACGACTGACTGTATGTTGCCATGGAGACATGTGACTGCGTGTCGCTTCCGGGATTCATTGCCGTGAGCTACCAAGGGAACATATGACGTTATTGTCACGTAGACAAGCGACTGTGCGTTACCGTGGAGACAGTTGACTTACTGTATGTTGCCATGGATATACCTCACTTTGTGTTGCCACCAGGATTTGTTTCTTCGTGTTGCTAAGGAGACGCTTGACTGTATGTTGCCTCGGAGATCCACCAACTTGGAATTGTGTGACTGTGTTGCCTCAGAGACGGATCACTGCTCGCTGCCATGGAGACACGTGACTGAGGTTGCCGTGGGGACGCGTGACGGTGTTGCTCTGGGTTGGAGTTCGCTCTGGTTTATGATTATGTGAGATTCCTCGCCGGCTGTAAACGGTAAAAGGAGAACATTTTCCCCCAGATTGGGCTGATCCTCCTCACTGGCACAACCGGCAGCTGGATTAGCATTAGCACTGGAGCGCAGTGTGGGATTATGGGAGTGTGAGGAGGAAGGAGGTCTCGTGACGGAGATTTGGGGGACGCTGTTAAGCCCGGGGGGACGGTGATTACACCAGAGGAATATACACAATACACAATGACTCCAGTACTGCTCACTCTCCCTCTCTCGCTCTAATCGCACATCTGCTTACACTCTTCCCTGTTTCCTCTTCTTTCTCTCACTCTTTCTTTCTTTCTTCGTTTTTTAAGTCTCTCACTCATTTGAAATTCAGTTCAGCTTCAGCTTTATTGGTGTGTAGTTACACTTTTAGGAAGAATCACTGACATAATAAGGACATAGTCAGAGCAGGGCTGCCAAAAAAAGTTGGCCAGTGAGGATGTTTAGCCTGCCAGACAGTCACCCTAACCCTCCACTCTCTCAGCCAATGAGGGAACACACATCTTTATACAGTTTCTAATTCCTTAAACATATGGTGTAATATTATATAATAAAACGTAGGATGATCTGTGACCCATAAACACCACACCTCTGTTATTGTAAAGCAGATGTAACAACACATATGAGCTAATAGGTTTGGAGTTTAAAGGCGAGGCGGTGTGGCTGTATGTAAAGAAACTTTACTGTCGACTATGCAAAGACGTAAAGGCAGGAATGTAGGAAGGTCCATAAGTTGTAAGCAGTATTTACGTCATATACCCACTGAAATCTTGTGACGTTTGTCTGAACAATCTAATAGAAACGGTCAAAACATGCTATAATGTTTCAAAAGACGAAGATAAATACATAAAATTGACACATCAAACCCTTCGCTCTCTACGTCTGGACCAACTCTATGCAAACGAGAGGAGCGACAGCCAATCAGATGTTGTTGTGTTGTACGGTAACCAGTTGTGTTGCCCTTAGGCAGGCTACACGTTAAAGATTCAACACTTCAAATCACACTGAGCCGGACATAACAGTGGATTAAAAAGCTACTGTATTCAAAACATGGGACGTTATTACGTTATTTGAATTTTTCATGTTTAAAAACTATCTTAGGCTGCTTTGGGGCTCAAAGCTAGTCTACAGCTCTACACTTCCACTCTGGACACCTAAGTCTGTTTATGTTGTAGTGACGCCCCCAAACACGGCTAACGGTTGTTGAGGGAAGTTGTTTGCCTCGCTCGTTAACTTTAACAGGACTCAGTCCCTGCAGGATCTGAAAGTACAGAAATCAAACATACAATAGAGGTCCCAGTTAAGCAACCCTGAAAACCGGGGATCTGCAGCCCCCTCAGCGCCAACGAAGACCCTGTATAGGGCTAACAAGTCGCTAGCTGTTCGCTTTTTGAAGCCCACCACAGGCCTTACGATTTGGACCCTCATAACAAAGTTTGGGCACCCCTGATTTAGATATTTAGGAAGTCTCAGTTTCAGATTTAGTTGAATCAGCTCATTTCACACCTTCAGCCCTCAGTGGAAGCCAGTGTGGTTTTCTGTTGGCTGTTTCGGTGGGTTGATGCGCATCCCTGTTCGTTTGTGCACAGTCACTCTCTTCCTGTGGCTTTGAGACGACACGAGCGCAGCAGCTCAGGAGATTGCAGCCATTCTTAGCTTCCTGTTGATGTAACTTCTTGTCCGTTCTGAGTGTGACTCAGTCATTTCCTGCCATGTTTGGTAGTGTGAGAAAGCTGGTGTCCGTATTTGAGACCCGGAAACAGCCCCGCCCACTTCCCCTCCCTCCATCGCACTCTTCTCCTTCCCTCTCTTCATCACTCCCACCTTCACACTCTTCTCAAAGCCCCACCCCCAGCCCAAACCCCTCCTCTAACACTCTACAAGCCACGCCCACCTTCAGATCATCCTCTCCGGTTCTAAAAGCAGGACCTGCCAATGAACCATGCACCCCTCCAGCATCAGGAACCGCCCCCTCAACCTGGTCCAGACCTCCGTGCACTCCTCCCATCCCACATTCTCTCCTCGGCAGAGAGAGAGGGAGCGATGGAGGAAGGCAGGAAGTTGTGTTGAGAGGGAACGGAACTGGGCGGAGGGTTCCGCGGGTTAGGCTGCGTGACTCATGGCCAATTGGAAGGCTTAATTGCTTCGAGGAAAACTTCCTCTCATCTGTCACAACACAAAACAAAAAATCAGCCGGCTGTGATCAGTGCCCTCCAGCGTTTGACAGGCGCAGGCTGAGGCTGGTACGCTTCACTTCACGGCCTGTTAGTTATCCCTCAGTGACCCCTGATTGGGCCTGTACTGCCTCCACCACAGGGCATACCACCAGGTCTACCTCTGCACCCAGATCCACCTCCACCACAGGACCCAAATCAAACTCCAACACAGGTCCCAAATCCACCTCCACCACAGGTCCTAAATCTACCTCCACCACAGGACCCAAATCCACCTCCAACAGAGGTCCCAAATCTATCTCCACCACAGGACTCAAATCCACCTCCAGCACTGGTCCCAAATCCATCTCTGCAATAGGAGATAAATCCATCTCCACCACAGGACCTAAATCCACCTCCACCACAGGTCCTACATCTACCTCCACCACAGGACCCAAATCCACCTCCACCACGGGTCCTAAATCTACCTCCACCACAGGACCCAAATCCACCTCCAACACAGGTCCCAAATCCATCTCCACCACAGGACCTAAATTCACCTACACCACAGGAACCAAATCCACCTCCACCACAGAACCAACCAACAGTTCTATCACAGGAACCAAATCTTCTGCCATGGGACGAGATTATACCTCCACCACCGGACCCAAATCTACCTCCACCATAGAACCAACTACCAGCTCCATCACAGGAACCAAATCCACCTCCACTACAGGATCCAAATGCTCCTCCACCACAGGCCCTGCAACTGCCTCCACCACTGCACCCAAATTCACCTCCATCACAAGACCCACTACGGATGTTTCAGACACTTCAGCAGCCTCTGGATCTAGTGGATCCAAACTCAGCTCCGCCATAGGGACTGAACATCTCACTGACAGCTCCAATTCTGAGCCCTCCAATATTTATACTGCCAGGAGCCCTGCTGGGTGTACTGCTAGCTCCACAACAGGCACTAATGCTAGCTCCACCACATGGTCTAGTCCTGGCTCTGTCACAGGGACTAACAGCAGTAGTTACACTTCAGGCACCACTGCTAGTGCCCTGACCTGCACTAATGCTAGCTCTGCCACAGGCACTACTAGCAGTAGCTGTGCTACAGTCAGTGCTGCTAGCTCCATGACAGGGACTGATGTTAGCTCCACCAGAGGGACTGTTAGCATTGCTGCTAGCTTTATGATAGAGACTGATTCTAGCTCTGCCACTGGGACTGCTAGCCGTAGCTGCACTATAGTTACAGCTGCTAACTCCATGACAGGAACTAATGCTAGCTGTGCTATAGGGTTTGCTCCGAATCAACCAAACCAAGGACAGTATGTGGGATCTCCAGGGAATGTTCCTCAGCGTTGTAGCCCAAACAGACTCAGCGAGGTGCTCTTGTCTTCTGGATATCCTGAAAAACACATCCCGTCTGGTGCGTGTTGTGGTTCAGTCCCTGCTGGTGGCCCTTTTCTTGTTTCCAGAGCTAATAAGAGGCTGTTTGAAGGCCAGTCTTGGATGCCTCGGTGTCCAGAACAGCTGCGTAGTGCCTCCAGGTCAACTGACGCCAGTGTAGCTCCCAATAAGAGTAAGGGGCAGGAAAAGGGGGCGTGGCTCAAACACAAGCAGGGGCTCCGCCCCTCTGACTCCGCCTACTTCTCTCTGCTGCTGTTCTTGCGCAGGTAAACATGGTGGTGTTGGCATCGGTTATTACGGTCGTTGCTATTGTGGGCCACACTGCAGTGGTGGGCTCGCGTTTTCAGCTCCTACTTTAACTTCTCTAACTATTTTTAACTCTCCTTATTTGCGGTGGGTTGGTTATTCTCGGTTTTCGTTTGTTTGCGTTGTGTGTGCTTTTCCGTCAGGACTAGGCAGCAGTAATGTGAACCATGTGCTGCAGCCACATTTCAGAACAATAACGTCCTTGTCACAGCGCTGTTCTGCACTGAGGTTTGCTTTTGTCTCGCAGGGAGCAGAAACAATCTGTTTTGTTTGTTGTTTTACAGTCTGTACTCCCGAAAACACGGAATACGCTGCATATCTGTTGATGTGGTGCAGTGCAGTGCTGACGCGGTGGCTGTGCTGATCTGAGAGCAGGTCTGCTGTGGTTTTGGTCAAATGGTTGTTTTTCTACAGAGCAACTTCCATCTGCTCTGCCAGAGAACAGCACACAGACACTCTGCTCAGCTCAGGACTGCATGTTCTGACAGCAGACCTAGAAACCAGGACTAAACCCTTCTGAATCAGCATTACAGAAAACACAGTAACAGGGCGTTTATTCCTGTAGAGTTTCAAACGCAGTAAAGCGAATAAATCATTATTTTAGCGCAGTAACCCAGCGTCACCTGGCCGGCCTGCTCTGAGTGCAATGAACACATCATCACTTACCACTTATCAGTCTGAATATCAGCCAGATCTGATCATCTAAAACATCTGATCATCTCTTAAACTATTATCTGCCAGTAATGATGTAATTCTGATATTGATGCATCAGTACTGCATTTACAACGAACCAGAGAAATAAAATAAACAAAAACCATGACAAAACAATAACAGTTGGATCAAGATTAGTAACACTGTTAATAATAATAATAAGAAGAATAATAATATGAATATGAATAATAATAATAATAATAATAATGGTGATTGTTATTGTTGTTGTTATTATTAAACAAGCAAAAACAAGCAGCAGATAGGCTGCAGGGCCCTCTTTCATACAGTGACGATTAACAGAATAACTCAGTAATGAACTCAGTCGTTCTCCTCTGAGTGAGTGTGATGGATGTGATGGGTGTGATGGATGTGATGGGTGTGATGGATCTGATGGGTGTGATGGGTGTGATGGATCTGATGGGTGTGATGGATGTGATGGGTGTGATGGGTGGATGCCTCTGACTGTAATAGTTGTAAACATGTCTGTAATGAGAGCGATTAATGATTAATGATTAATGATTAATGAATAATGAATAATGATGAGGTTTATGTTGAGCAGTGAGTCTGATCTGATCTGAGGGATGATGTTCTAACGCGTGTTCTCTCCCTGCAGCGGATCCAGTGGCAGCATGATCGCCATCGACAACAAGATCGAGCAGGCCATGGTGAGTGTGTCTATGTGTGTGTGAGTGTGTGTGTGTGTGTGTGTGTGTGAGAGTGTGTGTGTGTGTGTGTGGTGTGTGTGTGTGTGTGTGTGTGCGTGAGAGTGTGTGTGTGTGTGTGTTTGTGTGTGAGACTGTGTGTGTGTGTGTGTGTGTGTGTGTGTGTGTGTGTGTGAGTGTGTGTGTGTGTGTGTGTGAGACTGTGTGTGTGTGAGTGTGTGTGTGTGTGTGTGTGTGTGTGTGGTGTGAGTGTGTGTGTGTGTGTGTGTGTGTGAGAGTGTGTGTGTGTGTGTGAGTGTGTGTGAGTGTGTGTGTGTGTGAGTGTGTGTGTGAGACTGTGTGTGTGTGTGTGTGTGTGTGTGTGTGTGTGTGAGTGTGTGTGTGTGTGTGTGTGTGTGGTGTGTGTGTGTGTGTGTGAGTGTGTGTGTGTGTGTGTGTGTGTGTGTGTGGTGTGTGTGTGTGAGTGTGTGTGTGTGGGTGTGTGTGTGGACTGTGTGTGTGTGGTGTGTGTGTGTGTGTGTGTGTGTGTGAGTGTGTGTGTGAGTGTGTGTGTGTGTGTGTGTGTGTGTGTGTGTGTGTGTGTGTTCTCTCAGCTGTGTGTAGAATGCTGTGCTGTACATTATAACAGTGACTCAGCTGTGTGAGCTAAAAGTGGAGCAGTAGTTTCAGTGGGGACTCTGTTACAGTGAATATGCAAACTATACATACACACATATATATATAGATATATAGGTAGATAAATAGTTAGATACATAATTACACATATATAATATGAGGTATATTGTTATTAAATAAAGGTACTTATATGTCGCTGCTGTCGGAACAAAACCTCGTATCTCTGAAATAGTAACTTTACAGGAGAAGGAAAAGACCTACTCTACTTTTAATGGAAGTCAATGGAACCAGAACTTTTTCTAAGTCATTCTGGGTCGTTTCTTTTAGTCCATTCATCACGAAATTTACACACAATGTAAAGAGCAGCAGGCATTTTTGTAATGTAATATACATATGGGACATATTATTATTACATATTGTATATTTATACGGGGGCACATTTTTGTTATTGACGCTTACTTATATATATATAATACATGTGGGGTATATTGTTGCTATTGGGATAAATCTCTGTTTTTGTTGTTTTTCATCTTTTGACTTATTTTTAAAATACCAGCTGAACACTGAATTAGAATTTCAGCAGAAATCGTCCAAAATTACTTTAGTGCTTCCATTAAGACTTGAGAAGGTTTTTTCTGGAGACACGAGGTTTTGTCACCACAGTGATAATATTTAAAATACATATAGGATGTATTACTATTATTATTTCAGTTATTATTATTATTAATATTATTACTTACTTACATATATGAAAACATGTGGTATATAAAACACATGTATATCAGCTGTATGTATATATGTGTGTGTGTCGTGTGTGTGTGCGTGTGCGCGTGTGCGTGTGTGCGTGTGCGTGTGTGTGT